CACGCATACACACACGCAAGCAGGCACACACGCATACACACATACAAGCAGACACACATGCATACACATAAAGGACGTGGAAACAACGGTGTTTTAGAAGGTGAAGCAGTTTGAACGATGTTAACATGCCCCTCTCTGCTAAGGATTTAACATGCTTGAACTTTCTGGTGTGAATGGCTTTGAAATGGTTGGTTTAGACATTGTCATCAATTTATTTAAGATGTTTAAAGATTTGTGTACTTTGATATTTTTATCCTAATGCAAAAACCTAATAGTGACAGATTAAAGGGACAAAAAAAAAAGCTTATCTAATGACACACACATAAAAGCCCAGTGTTTCCTTGGGTGGAAGGAAATGCCTTTTTCCTCTTCTTGACAGGGAAACAATGAGGAAGCACTCGGAAGAGATAATCCCATTTCACGCTCTTCATGGGGTGCCTGGAAACCCAGTGTAGTGCAATCTGTGTAGGTTCTGCCTGTGGGCTAATGGGTTGTGCTTAGTACCAGCAGTGCTGACAGGTGGTCTGTGCAGGGAGAGCGAGCTGTGGGTGAGGACAGCTGACCTGGCCAGCCCCAGCAGGCTGCATGACTCACCTCCAGGGACGTCCAGGGCTGAAGAAGGATCTGCACACCTCTCTGCCGGCCCCACACATGTCCATAGGCAGCAGGACACTCCCGAGGCTGCCCAGGACAGGGCTGGTCAAGGGAGGCTTGCTGTAAATGGAACTTTCTGCTGACTTTTAAGATGACATTGGTCTCTTTTGCCTCGGATGATAGCTGTAGCTGACATTCAGTGGTATGTGCTCCAGTGTCTTTCGTGTCCCCAGCTGAGCTTGCCATAGGAGTTGCTCGAGTTTCCCTAAGCTCTTCTGTGCTGCTTTTTGGCCACACAAGCCGTAGTCATAACCTGCCATCATGACGAAACTCACAAGGGCTAGTTAAAAAGAAAAAAAATTGAGGTAACTCCCAAAACATGGCTCCTCCCCCAGAGAAGATGATGGAGAAGATAGCAGTGGAGAAGAGGCTGTCACCCCTCCGAAGCAAAGGCAGGAAGGCTGCCCCAGCTCCAACAAAGCTAGTAGTTTCACAAACAAAAAAAGGTTAGAATTGCCGCACAAGCAAAAGCATCGGTAGCAAACCTTGTTTAGCAAAGGGAAGCTGTCACTCCAGCCAAGGTGGCTAAGAACCACAAGAGTGCCAAAGAGGACGAAAGTGACGGGGGTAAGGACGGTAAGGACGGTGACAACAATGAGACGATGGATGGTGACAAAGAGGATTCGTCTGAGCGGCCAGCTGTGAGAGCAGTGAAACCAGGGAAAGCAGCAGAGGACGGAGGATGCGGGTGAGGATGATGAGGAGAATGATGAGGAGACAGGTGATCCTGAAGACGACGCTATGGCGATCACACGGGCCAAAGGGAGAGAGTTCCTGTGAAAGCTGTTCCCATGAAAGCCAAGAGTGTGACCAGAAGGAGGATGAAGATGATGATGAGGAGGAGGAGGAGGAGGAAGACAGGAGCCTGTGAAGGCAGCAACTGGAAAACAGAAAAGAAAAGGAAATGACCAAAAAGAAGCTCCTGAAGTCAAGAAACATAAAGTGGGAGGCTGGGAACCACACCTTTCAACCTGTTCGCTGAAACCTTCATCCCAGCAAACCTGCAGCCGAATGGAAAGTTGCCACCAGTGGACTTTTTGCTAAAGCTGACCTTGCTGTTGTGGACGCCAGAACTGGTACAAATAGGAAATTCAGTTACATGGATTTTAAGTCTGCTAAAGACTGAGAAAAAGCCTTGGCGCTCACTGGTTTAAAAAAAAATGTTTGGCAATAAAATTGAAGTAGAAAAACAAAAAGAGACACTAAGAAAGCTCGAGTTGCACAAATACTTTTAGTCAAAAACCCATCTTTCAGTATCGCTAAGGATGAAGTGTTGGAAGACGCCATGGAGATCAGATTGGTCAGCAAGGGTGTTAGGATAAGTAAAAGGATCACTCCCAAGTTCAACGCAGAAGCTGATGCCAAGAGAACCTGAATCAAAGCAGCGGGCAGAGGCTGATGGGTGATCTCTTTCACTCTCCTACCCTGGAGAGAGGACAAAGGCAAGAGAGAGCTGGGAAGAAAAGCACTTGGAGTGAAACAAAACTTTGGATTGAACTTTCCTACAACAAGACAGAAGAAGCACTCTAGGAAGCATTTGAGAAAGCAACTTTTTATCAGTGTGCCCCAGCATCCAAATGACAGATCTAAAGGGCATGCATTGATAGAATGTGCTTCGTCTGAAGATGCTAAAGCTTTAAACTCCTGAAGAAAATGGAGACTGAGTACAGAACGATCAGGCTGGAATCACAAGGATCCAAAGTCAGCCATCCAAAACTCCGTGAAAGGTCTGTTGGAGGAAAGCACTGGAGAGATCTTAAGAGAATCGTTTGAGAGCTCTATTCGTACAAGAATAGCCACCAGTGAGGAGACTGGGTCTCCCAAAGGGTTTGGTTTTATAGACTCCAACAGTGAAGAAGATACAAAAGTTGCCAAGGAAGCCATAGGAGATGGTGAAATTGATGGAAACAAAGTTACCTTGCAGTGGGCCAAGCCTACAGGTAAAGGTGGCTTTAGTGGGAGAAAGGGGTGGGATTTGGTGGCAGAGGCCAGGGAGGCTTTGGAGGTAGAGGAGGCTTCTGAGTTGCCAGAGGAGGACCAGAGATGTCAAGCCACAAGCACAGAGAACAAAGTTTGAAACATTTCTTCCATTCCTGTCTTTCCCTCTTTATTTGAAAGAGTTCCTGAGGACATTGCAAGACAGTAAGTACACAGACGGCCATGTCATCTAACTTGGAATCTATGTCGATAACATCTCAAAAGAGACACCATGCTGATTTTGACTGGATATTCATATAAACGTGTTTGTTTTTATGTTTTTTTGAAACAGGGTTTTTCTGTGTAGCCCTGGCTGTCCTGGGTGTCTTACTTGTTCTATATACAGACCAGGCTGGCCTCAAACTAAGAGATTCACCTTCCTCTGTCATCCAAGTGCTAGAATTAAAGGCATGTACCACCACCACATGGCTGAGTCATTTAAACTTTTAAAGAAGAGAGATAGAGGGCTGGAGAAATGGCTTAGAGGTTAAGAGCACTGACTGCTCTTCCAGAGGTCCTGAGTTCAATTCCCAGCAACCACATGGTGGCTCACAACCATCTATAATGAAATCTGGTGCCCTCTTCTGGAATGCAAGCATACATGGAAGAAATGTTGTATACATAATAAATAAATAAATCTAAAAAAAAAGTGCAGCCTTAGTATAAGAAGTAATTGTAAGCCGGGCGATGGTGGCGCAGGCCTTTAATTCCAGCACTTGGGAGGCAGAGGCAGGCGAATCTCTGTGAGTTCGAGACCAGCCTGGTCTACAGAGCTAGTTCCAGGACAGGCTCCAAAGCCACAGAGAAACCCTGTCTCAAAAAAAAAAAAAAAAAAAGAGAGAGAGAGAGAGATAGAGCTAGCCACTATACATTTTGAATGTATAGTTTCGTGCCATGTATAAAATTATCTTCTCTTCAATGCTGATGGAAAATCCCGTGTGCCACCACCACAACACAGATGAGGAGAAAGAGGCTCTAAGACTTTCATAGGCTGGAGAGATGTCTCTGTGGGGAAAGGTGCTTGCTGCCAAGCCTGACCTGAGTTTGATCTCCAGGTCCCACAGGAGAGGAGAAAACTGGCTCCTGCACTGACTTCCACAAATACTCCGGACACACAAGACACACACACACATATCACATACCACCACACACACATACACACACACCACACACATCACCCCATATACCACACACACACACCAATACACACCACACCACATGACACCATACTACATACTAAACACAAATGCACATACCGCACACATACCACACACATATCACATGCCACCACACATACACACACACCACACATACACATGCATACACACATGCACATACCACACGCATACACACTCCACATCACACACCACCACACACCACACTCCACACATACATACATGCACATACCACACGCATACACACTCCACATCACACACCACCACACACACACACACCACACTCCACACATACACACATGCACATACCACACGCATATACACTACACATCACACACCACCACACGCACCACACACATACACACCACACACCATCATACACACACATACACATACCAGATGCACTAAATGTAATTTTAAAAAATTTAAGGTGGTTCTTGAAGGTCACTCATGACATTTTCAGTAGGGAAAAGACAGAATCAGAGTCCTCTGGACTCTAACATGGAGTAGGGATGTTTCTCACGGGGTGGAAGATGTCAGAGGGTCTGCTGGGCTCACAGAAATGCTTGGGTAAACTGTGTGCTTCTCAAGCACCAGAATGCCTGGCACAAAGATGCGGACATCCCTTTCCAGGAGTTAGGGTTAGGGTTCACAGGTACAAAGAAAGTGGGAACTTAGGAGTTTTGCATTTGTTCATAAAAATTAACATCTTTTTTTTTTTTGAGGAAACTAAAGCTCTTCAAAAACAAGACAAACTACAACAAAGCCCCGACATTTTGAGGCCACACACCACAACCTGTCTCTCACAGTCTTGGCTGTCATCTCCAAGCCCAACCATGAGCAGTCTGGCGTATTCCCAGGGCTAAAGGCCATGTCCTGCCATGCCGGAGCATCTCCCTCACAAACAGCGCCACACTAGTTCCAGGAGCTTGGCTTCCCCTGTTCCCATTCTACAGTGTGGGCCTCACATGACCACACGCCAGGGTTAGCACGGACTGGGCTATTCCATGTGTTCCTGGCAGGGAGCACAAGCCCTGTAAAGAACATTATGGACACATGGCAGAAGGGCTGGGGTGCCTCCAGCTTCCAGACATTTCTTTAGGACCCAGCGAACAGGACGGCTCACGAAGCATCCTGATCCAGGGAAAACAAGGCTAGTGTCCAGAGTTACAAAACACACTGAAACCCAACAGCTGTCCGCAATTCCATTTTAATATCAATGGGGTTCTGTCCCTCAAACTAAAGTTGGAGAATTACATGGCTTGATGGGATATTAACAATTAGCAAAATTCACATCAGGATTATAGAGCATTTTAAATATAAAAATAAGTTTTTTTAATTAAAAAGAGTATGTGAACAGCCCCGGTTATGTCCAGAACAGCCCCAAAGTCCAAAGGCAGCGAGATCTCCAGCTGTGCCTTGTGATTACACGAGTTACAAGGCTCCAAAACCCCTGGGCATCTTGATATGGAATTGGTTGACTTCTAGATGATTTCCTCTTCAGCAGAAACATTAGAAAAGAGGCTGCAATGAGCCACCACACTCTGGATGTTCCTGGCCTTCTGCAGAGGGAGTGGGATTGCCTGAGAGGCAAACAACCCCTGTAGGAAGCCCTGGCTGTCATCTGAACAGGCGGGCACCCAGGTCAGCTGGAAGGTATCTGCACTGGCTGTCGCATGGGGGTTCAAACCCAACTGGAATCTTCCTTCTTCCCATTTGCATCTTCTAATGATTCGCGGTATGGTTAAAATGGCCCTGCAATGGTGAGAGAAGATACTGTGAGTATCGATTCACCCTGTACTCATTAACAGGCTTCAGCTACATAGTCACCAACACAGAGGACACCATTTATAATAACTGGGCTAAGACAGATGAGACGGCACATGCCTGCCAGCACGTGTAAAGCTATGACAGGCACACTGCCAGCATAGGCCACATAATAACTCCCAGGCCAGTCTGGGTTTCAGAGTGAGACCCTGTCTCAAAAATAAGATAATAATAATTAATATACCAATAGGAGAGGGGGAGAGGGAGAGAGAGAGACATACACACTAGGCTAGCTCTTGCGTGCTACTTCTCAAGCACTGGGAATGCAGGGTGGGATACTGGTCCTGTCTTGTCATGACTTCTAAGGCACAACTTACAGATGTATTAACATGTACTGCACTGTAATTAAGGTAAAATATTTCTAAAGCTGCCTAGTCATAGAATATTCTTAACAAATGTTACATTCTTTATTACTTGGAGAAAAAGGATGAAATATCTTTCAGTTACCCATAAAATAAAATTTTAAATGCACTGTCAAAATACTGAATCAGGATTCAAAGTCACAGCAGTATGGCTTGATCCTCATGTGGACATCTGGAAGTAGCCCAGGATCACAATGGTCCCTAGCAGGGCCCCTCACACACCCTCCTGGAGCAGGCCTCTTTCCATATCCCCACAAAAGCTGATGGGAGAATGATATGGTTGAGGATGACAGTGGGCAGGTGCCATACTGCTGTGTAGCGGGAGTTTCCCTCAACATCCAAGAGTCTCTGTCACACTTGGCTATAGGCACTGACACAGTAGTGTGCTTTCCAGCCACAGGCTAAGGAGGGGTGGGTATTCCTGCCTTTAAGGTCCACACCAAGACGCTAATGGGTTCCCCGAGGAACTGAGGTCCCAGAATGTTGGGTGGTCAGGAAATGAGGGGATGACAATCCAGTCAAGGCTTTTCTCCATCCTCCAGAAAGCAAGTGCTGCCAATGGGAAAGACTCAGACATTGCTTGGAGAAGACTGGGAGGTGGCCATGGACCCATTTTATACCAATGGCTCATGGCTCACCCGGGCCATGAGAACAAAGTGCGATGAAAGTCAGGACTGCACATGTGTCTATCTTAGGATGCAGAAGACATCCCAGGCAGTGAGAACGATGTTGAGGTCAGAATGTTCTAGAACCAGAAACAGGAGCCTGGTGCGCATGTGGCACACAGGCAAGACTGGATGATCTGTCTAGAAGGTCAAGCTCATTGAGGTCATGAGGACACTATAAATCATGATGGGGAAAGGTAGAGAGTTCACTCAAGAACACATAAAAGCATGTGTGAGGACATGAAAACATGAGAACGTGACATAAAGAATATATACAAACATATAACATGCAAAATTATAGAAGATCATATAAACAAGGTCATTGAAGAATATAAGAACATATATCATCATAGAAGATAGTCATAAGCACAAACAATAACATACAATATCATAGAAAAACATCTAAAGAACATCATAGAATATACAGGATCATAAAAAAACAAAAAATAACAGCACAGAATATATATAAGATCATAGAACATCATATATGATCATAAAAGAACATATAAGAACACACAAGAGCATCATATACGCACATACAAGATCATAGATGAATATATAAAAACATACACAAACATGAAATCATATAACATGGAATAATGACATATAAAAAACATATAAGATCATAGGAGAACATCTAAGATTATACAAACACATACAAGACCATAAAAGAATATCCTATAAGAATATCCAGGTTCATAGACAATCATATGAGAATAAACAAGATTATAGAACATACAGGCCGTGTTCCCATGGTCCTGTACACACTGAAGACAGGCTGCAGGCAGAATGCATAGACTCAGGGACCAAGACAGGTCATCAATGTGAGCACAGTGACCCGCAGGCTTCAGAACTGTCCATTCAGACTTCCCTCATGCCATCCCTAATCCCCACCTATGAGCTCACTCCTGATTTCTTTTTCCCTTTTTTAAATACTGTTGTTTATGGAAACACGGTTTCATATAAATTATTCTGGCCTCCAGCTCCACATGTAGCCAAGGCTGTCCTTAAACTCCTGGGCCTTCTGCCTCTAAACTCCAAGTGCTACAATTACAGGTAGGTGTCACCATGTCCAGTTTTGCCTCCTGAGTTTCCACATTTGTCCCAGCTTTTCAGTGTCTTTCAGGTCACATGGCCTGATCTGCACAGGGACAGTCTAGGGTGGGGACTGGCTGAAGCCCTGAGATTCCGAGACTCACAAATAACATACACACAACACCAGGGGCATGTCTGATAGGGGGATGCTCTGCTCCCTGGGTCCTAGCTTTGGTGAAGTCAAGGGCTTTAAGCAGGGTTTGCTGTGTCTTGGCAGTGCGTCTTACCACAAAGAAACAGGAAGCCTGCTGCTGTGGACTGTTACTTTAACTACGTAAGGATGCGTTCTATTTCTTATGCAGCATTTGTCAAACTAGGTAAAGATGTGTTGCTTTGCCTGCCTAAGGCCAGTGACTGGGCTAACGAAAACCTGAACGGCCAATAGGCAGTAGAGAGAAAGGCAGGGGTGGCAGGCAAAAAGAGTGAGGAAGAGGAGGAGGAGTGCAGGTTCAACAGAGGAGAGGGAGAGAACGTGGGAGATAAGAGGAGACATCTAGGGCCAGTCGGTCGCCCGCCAGCCAGGCATGGAGGAAGCACTGAAAGTGGGACACACAGAGAGAAAGGTAAAAAGCCCCGAGGCAAATGTAGATGAACAGAAACAGGTTAAGTTATAAGAGCTAGCGGGACAAGCACAAGATAAGGATGAGCATTTGTAACTAATACTCAGTTGTCATGTCATGATTTGGGAGCTGGCCGGTGGCCCAAAAGAAACCCTGCTACAGCCTATTTCTGTTGCTAAGACTTACATAGGGAATCTAAAGCAACAGTGAAAAATAAACCAAAATTCCAGTCTATTCTCACTAAGCAAGCAAGAAAGATAGTTTTGGAGGATATTTATTTTGTATGTGCACATATGTGCAAGCCATGATGTGTATGTGGCAGTCTGAGGACAGCTTTGGGGAGCAGGTTCTCTCCACACATTTATGTGGGTCTTGAGATGAACTCCGGTCAGCAGAACTGACAGCTGGCTCCTTTACCTGTTGAACCATCTCAAGGGCCTCACGTTCTTATTTGCTTCTAGTATTGGGATAGAAATGGACCCGTGCCCAGGGGTTTCCAGCTGTACTCACTGCCGGGCGCCTTCCTAGTGCTTCCTCGGGGACAGAATCTATCCATCAAGAATTCTAGTTCCAACAAAACAACTTTTGAAACTGACTTAGAAATTAAGACATTCTTAGAGAAGCCAACATAGAAAATCCCCTGCAGGATGCCTATTGAAATACTGGCATCCACAAAGGATGATGACAGTAACCACCTGCACAATTAAGAACATGGATGGGGCTTCTTTTTCTAAATTACTGTTAGTGAATATGACCCTATGGTTTTGCATATTTGTCTACTCCGCCATCTTGCTTAGTAGTTTATCTGCAGGCTTTCTTGGATATTTTATGTAGACAGATTATGTATATAATCCGAAAACAACAACAATGCAAGTGTTTCTGTCTTTCCTTCCCAATTCTTCTACTCATTGTTTCTTTGTTCTTGTCTTACTATACTGGCTGGAAACTCTAGTACACTGAGCAAGAACAGGCACAGCAAGAGTCCTTGTCTTCCTCCTCAACAATGGAAACAATTCCATGAAGTATAGTGTTCAGTTTCTAGCAGGATAAACTCTGATGGTGGTTTGCTAAATAAGTTATCAGTTTGGTTTTGGTTATTTGATGTGTGTGTGTGTGTGTGTGTGTGTGTGTGTGTGTGTTTAAGCCAGAGTCTTGCTATATTGTTCTGGCTGGCCTGGAACTCCTATGCAGCCAGGATCTCTAATTCACCACCATCCTCCTGGCTCAGCCTACCTAGCACAATGGAGTAAAGGAATGAGCTTTCATATACAGCTCTGAAATTACTATAAACAGGACCTGGATCTAATAGGAGAATGTAATGAGCACTTTTTTTTTTCATTTTTCGAATGTTAAATCATCCAAGTGTTCTTTCACACCGGGCATTGTGAACCAAAGGCACAACAACAAAACTACCTGGAATGGTAGCTTTCTGATAACTTTCTTGGTTTTTGCCACTGTTCTAGCCCGTGTGTGTTCCCTTCCAGAATCAACGCTGGTGACCAAGTATCAGCAGCCACTTGCTCAGAAGCTGCAGGCTCCTGCTGAACTCAGCAAAGTCGTCACTGTAGGGGAGCAGTGTTCAGGCTCTACATATCTGGGCTGAAAAGGCTAGGACATTTTCTGCACACACTATCAGCATCCACACATGGACCAAATGAGAAGGTTTTGCCATCTTTCCTCTGAGTCTCACTCCCAGGGAGAAGACTTCACCATTTTCTCTATGGCTCTAAGGCTCTAGGATCCTTGACATCCCCTGACATCCCTGAGTGAATGGCAATAACACATTCACTCAGGGCTCCCTTAGAACTGAGGGTTGATGAGAGGGCTTCCTCTGCACCCCACATTTCATGGACCTTGCTTATAATCTCCCACCCTTCCTGGACCTGCCTTATAACCCACATCCTTCATGATCTACATTATAATCCCCAACCCCTCACAGATCCTCTTCTCTTTATTCTGCAGCTCCTGCAGCCTCATTGTGGCTCACTTAATTGGTCTCAGTCGACAAAGAGTGTTCCCATGGACAAGCTGACTACAGAGAAGTCAGCTGTTCATCGGCAGGCCGGCATGAGGTCATTTGTGGAACAAAAGGGAATCTGCTGCTAACGGTCCTCAACCATTCTGTCTGGGTGTGCAAGACAGGGCAGGGCAGAGCAGGGAAGGCAGGAGCCTGACAACTGTGCACCACAGAAGCACACTATTCCCACACTCATTCCAGTCCCTGAAAGTAGCTGATAAGAGGCTGAGAGAGGATGGTCTGGAGATATATATATATATATATATATATATATATATATATATATATATATATAAAACACAAGGTGAACTGTGACGATTATAATAGGGAAATTGTCAGCAATTGTTCAGGTCTATAATCCTAGCACTCAGAGGCTGAGGTCAGTCCAGGCTACCAGATAAGGTCAAGGCCAGCTCATGCTCTATAATAAGACTATGGCAAGGAGACAAAAGAGAGAACCCACGCCAGCACAACTGAGCTGGAAACCACTGTAAGAATGAACTAGAATGGATCAGATGGAAAGACTGAAGCGCAGACGTACAGAGCGAGACTGAGGACATAACTGAGAAAAGGTCCACGCATCCATGAGAAACAACCCAGTGACTAAAGCATGACGGAAGACTGGGAGACGGCATAACAGATAAAGCACTAGCATGTATGCATGAGGACCTCAGTTCCAATCCCCAGAATCCATGGAAAAGACGAGCAGTCGTGATAGCCCACTGGTTACCCTTGTACGTGGGAGGCAGAGATAGGGGATCCCTGAGGCAAGATGGATAGCTAGACTACCCAGAATTAGTGAGCTCCAGTTACAGGGGGAGACCTTGCCTCACTAAATTAGTGGAAAATTATCAAGGAAAACACTCAGTGTCAAGTTTGGGCTTACTACACACACACACACACACATGTGCCATACTCATGCAAGCACACAACACATATGTATAAATACATACACATGCAAATAAACAAAAGCCAGTTGAAGTGCAAGGAACTCATGCTCCACAGAGACAGCTCTGCCTAGGATTCAGAGCAGGAAGCATCAGTGAGATCAGCAGACTACAGTCAGAAACATACAGGAGGCTCAGTTCACACAGCAGCTGTGGGGAAAAGCCACCAGGCAAGCTGAGAGGCACACCTGGATGGGGCTGCTGTTAGGGATACCATGAGAACCACACTGACATAGACTCTGCAGCCCTCAGAGGCAGGGGAGTCATCGGAGTCAGGCTGGGAGTGTGAGCTGGCAGGAAAGCCCTCCTGTGCATGTGGCCAAGCGGCTCTGAAGAAGCCTGAGTGTAATAAAGTCCTCTGAAGTTTGCAGTCGCTGCCCGTCAGTGATTTGCCGCTAAGTAGTGCTCCCTGGGATCCTGCATCTCTAAAAACACTATTTGCTTTTTATTTAACACTGAACCTTTTGATGTTTTAGAATATAAAAATAGTAAGTGTCTTATTATTTTAAAAGCTTAGGAGAGAAACTAGCCGTATTATTAGGAAAAGAAGATATACGCAGCATAGTCTGTTCAAATATCAAGAGGTGTGACTTTTCAAATTCACATTTCAATCTTTATTTACATAAGACTTTTAGAAATAGTGGGTGTAAATATTAAACCGCCCAAGCCTGGGTAAAATTTTATTGAGAATAACTACAAATAAAGGGAAACTGATTTTTTAAAGTCAGTTTCTGAAATTTAGATGAAAAGAATATTGAGCATTAACCAAAAAAATGATATTTACATATCAATGTAGGTTTTTTGCTCATAGATTCATTTCCTATGAAACTAAAGGAGGCAAGCTTGGGGAATTACAAAGGAAGGGAAAACCCTAAGCAAACAGGTACTGTTGTTCAAACAGAATATTAGCCAAAATGATCCAATCAGGCGCTTGAGCTAATTCTTTTTTTTTTTTTCTCCCTTTAAGCCATTCATGCCAGAACACAACCTCTCAAAGTGTAAGGAATTCATGCTACTTCCAAATGTGCCTCCGATAGACAGGAGGGGTTGAAAGCTATATCCCAAGGATATGGGGTTGGGGCACGAAAGAACCAGTCAGTCACAACCGGAGAGGTCATTTGACTACAATGGGGCCACAATTCTCAAAAAGTATGACTTAGCTGTATCCTCGGGTATCTGGCAGTCATGGGAATCAACCTGAATACACTGAACTCAGATGAAGGCATTCTGAATGTGAGCACTGTTCAGAAATACAGCACACATCTGACAGTAACTTTGCAGACCGAGAATAGAGTGGCAAAGCACACTCCCCTGGAGGAGGCACGACACTGACGCTGGCTTTTGTATGGGTCTGATGACTTCAGCTACTCAGGTTGGAGCGGATGGCAGCTGCCAGAGCATCAGGTCTGTCTAAGACAGTCAGTGCCTGCCACTGCAGAACCCAGCAGCCAGTCCTGTGTCAGCTGGAGATGCGTGTAAGTTACGGACTCAATCTTTTGCTCATTGGGAACAGCAATTCACTTCTCTGAAGATCTTTGGGGGGCAATCTCCGACACTCAGACTGAGGCACACGCTCATCCGCCCGGTTTCTATGCGGAATTTAAATACAGGTCTATTTTATTACAATATTGAGAGTTCAAATTTAAAATAAAAAACCCAAGAATTATAGAGGTTATCAAAAACATATTAACTTGTTCTTAGAGTAAGTTCAAAATTAATAACAAAGGCATTATTATGCTAATATATGCTTTATGATATTCCGCCCTACAGTGGAGGCTGAAAATTGGCTGGCGGTCTTAGGCCTCCCTTTATTTTGAACTGATGGTGTGAGCACTGTGTTTCCTTTAGAAATCTACAATTTATGTAAAGTTTATGGAAACACACTAGAAAAGTTTAAACACATGAGGAAAACCCAATACTGACTCCTGATGAGATAATTTAAATAAGGCCACGCTTCTTCCCTACGACGACCTTCAAGGTCTGTCCTTTAGACAAGCAGAGGGCCAACTTCTTTTCCTCGAGGCCACATCTACGCACAGCACCTTCACACATGCGCGCGCACACAAATACTGCTTCTTAGTGGGGGTTTTATATTTCTTTGTGATTTCTAGTTCTAAATTTGAAGCTGGGACATTTTTTTTTTACTTCAACAGAATGCTAAAAAAAATTCAAATCAGCCTTCAGTTTTATTCACGTATCTCATTCCTTATATATACGATTGCAGATTTTATTAACTGTTCTACAGATCTGATGTTGAAGAACGCTATCATTTCTGTCTCAGTGAGATCACACTTACAGACTCCCCCGCAATACATCTCAGGCAAGGCTGGGCTGAGCTCCTTCCGCCGTTCTGCAGACTCTATTAAACAAAACAGACATACGTGCATCAGCACAGGGAAACCATGGTTTTATTAAACGAATTCTATGGGCTTGCAGTGGGTTTGGTGGCAAGAGGAAGCACATACCACTGAGCTCGGCCTCTCCTGGCCACACTCTGGTCGCGGTGCAGGTGGGCCTTGTGGCCGTGGCTCCTGGTCGTCTGTGCTCCAGGACAGCAGGGCACAGGTGCTTACCATGTGGCTGCTGTACTCATGGCCACCAGCTTCTGACCTCCTGCATGCCCGTTTCTAAAACACAAAATCTCACTTCAGATGACAACATATAACACTCTGCCTGAATTTATTTTCAGAAAACTTCGGCTCCCAACATAGACCCCTGTGGAGCGGGAAAGTCTTATAGAACGTGTGGGGATGACTTTCAGAACTAACAGCCATCACTTACCTTAACCTTGTTAGTTCAAGAGCTGCCTGTAGTTACCCGGCTTGATAGATTTAAAATAGTCATTTTAAACAATTTTGGCTGAAATTCCTGTAATAAACTATTGTGGCTGGTTTATTGAAAATGTACCAAACCTATAAATTCTGTTCAAGGAACTACTTATATGCTTCAACACATCTTCCTTAGCATCGAGTTGCATTCTTTCTTAACACAGTATGCATGGCTCACTTGTGAATAATTCTCTTACTGGCATGGAAGAACAAATTACTTTTATTGATCTCAGAGTCTGCACACACAGCCCGTAACCAGGTAATGGGGGAAAGTTAACATTTGGCTTCTACATCCACATGAGCTAAAGAAGGTTAATTACGAAATAGTCCTTCAATACTTCAGAAGAAAGTAATGTCCTAATGCCCCAAGGGACATTCCTAGAGCCGTCCTGTCCTGGACAAGAGTCAGGAAGAATTCTGTAAACACTCACCCATCTACCCTCAGCCCAGGGCCAGCATGTCCCTCTGGTGGCCACCCAGATGGGCCTGCTTCTGAACACCTGCCAAGCCAGGAAACATTTGCTGCATGGCTCCAGCTGCATGGCTCCAACTGCATGGCTCTAATTGCATGGCTCCAGCTGCATGGCTCTAATTGCATGGCTCCAACTGCATGGCTCTAATTGCATGGCTCCAGCTGCATGGCTCCAGCTGCATGGCTCCAACTGCATGGCTCTAACTGCATCTACACTCAGGTGTAAATCACTGTCCTTGCCAAGTCAGTTTCCCCACCTATGTTTGTTATCTAGGGTGTCATTGATTTAATAATTCCTAATTTGCTCTTAAAGTTTATTTATTCATTGAAAGTTTCAAATATATAGTATGTTTTAATCATCACCATCTTTATCAATTATTTTTCTTTTTCTGTGATAAAACACGGACCAAGGTAACTCACAGAAGACTTTATTTGGGGCCCGGCAGTGGTGGCGCATGCCTTTAATCCCAGCACTTGGGAGGCAGAGGCAGGTGGATCACTGTGACTTCAAGGTCAGCCTGGTCTACAAGGGCTAGTTCCATGACAGGTTCCAAAGCTACAGAGAAACCCTGTCTCAAAAAAACAACAGAAGACTTTATTTGGGCTTTTACAATTCCAGGGGGTGAGAGGCCAAAAGGATGGTGGTAAGAGCCAGAAACTTAAGAGTACACATTTTTTTTTTCAAGACAGGGTGGGGTCTAATGTCAAACTCACAGAGATCCACCTGCTTCTGCCTCCTAAGTGCTAGAATCAAAGATATGCACCATCATACCCAGATTCTACATTGTTTACCACGAGCATAAACCTTAAAATGATGTGTCTTTAAATTCTCAAAGCCTGTTCCCCAGGGACACACCTCCTACAGCAAGGCCATTCTTTCCATCCTTCCCAAGGAGTTCTGCCAGCTGAGGACCAGGTATTCAAACTTAGGAGCCTCCAGGGAGCACTTCTCATTCTAACTTCACATCCCTCTGCTTGGCCCCCATAAGCCTGTGGTCATATTATAATGCAAAACGCATTTAGTTCCCATAGGCTTTCAGTCCCAACCCTGTTTAAAAGTCCAATGTCTCTTCTGAGACTAAAGACAAGCTCCTAACTGTAACCCCCTGTAAAATTAAAAAGCGAATGAGATACTTCCAGCATACAGGGGCACAGACTAGACATTACCATTCCCAAAGGGGGGAATATGGACCTAGTCGAACACAAGACAGAAACCCAGCAGGGCAATCTCCAAGTGCTCTAGTTACATGCCTGGTGTTAAAGGGCTTTGATAGCACGACCCCTCCAGCTTTGCTGTCCGGAGCACCAGCTCTCATCCTCCCACCACTCCTCCCACCAAAATCCTTCTTCTTTCCATGAAGTCTCCCGCCAGTTTCCAGGTCTTTGAGGGTATATGTGTGCACATTTTCATTTGATTTATTTAGGGTTGTTTGCATGCGCATGGGTAGGAAGTTATTTACTGGTGCATAGACTACTTGTCAGTGGGTACACCACTGACAAAAACGACACCTCGCCCCCAACTCCTACAGCCACCATTAACTGCCAATAGTCCCGTCAGAGAGTCGGGGTTGTTGAAACCTAGTGGGTTTATTCAACGAGGAGACATTTCTCCATGGGTACCTGGGATTAAGTACTGGATTTACCACGGGCATTTCCAGAAACTAACCTAGTCCAGAAAACCCTCATAAGTGTGCCTGAAGGTTTGTCTGATTCCACATCCTGTCAAATTGACAATCAACACTAACCATCAAGTACCAAGGCAAAAAGTCAAAACAGGAAGAGACATGGCCTCTCCCATCATATTAAGGAAATCATAGTATGACCAGGACAACGTCTGCAGAAAAGAAAGACAGGCTCGACACCAGGAAATCCATGAGCACCATCGGTGTTAGTTTTCATGAGGAAACAGTAACACGATTATCTCCAGAGAGACTCAAACTAGTTTGAAATGTAAACATCATTCAGGACAAATCAAAAACAAACAAAGAACACTAAACTAAAACAGGAAGCAAATGCGTTGGGTTTTCCTTTTCGTGTTAATCGACGTTTTATTGATGCGCCTGTGTGAGTTCTACTGCGCCGCATACTTGCAGCAGCCCAGAGACCCCTGACGGTGGCAGCACAGGCAGCCAGGAGCTGCTGAGAGGAAGGTTAGAGGCATGCACCACCACACCTGCTGGCTCAGAGAACTTAACATGCTTTTTTGCAGTGGGAGAAGGATGTTTGTTTTTTTAAATGAAGTCTTGTTGGCTAGCCTTGAACTTGCTATGTAGCCATGGATGACTTTGAACTGATCTTCCTGCCTCTGCCCCAGCAGTGCTGAGGATACAGATAAGTGCCCCATGCCAGCTCAGAACACTCTTCAGGGCACAAACTACAGAAGAACTAATTCTAAAGGTCTCCTATTCTTAGATAAGATGATTTGAGACTACAAAGACGAGAGTTCTCTCTCCCTAAGTTAAATTTGAAAATTCTACTTAACCCCAGCAAAAATACTAACAAGCTATTAATATTTCATGAGTAACACGAATAGCTACTAAAGAGCACATGGGGGGTGGAGGTCAGAAGCACACTGGGAAGGAAAACACTCTGGACACTAAAACACACCATGACTGTATAATGATAATGGGTGGGGACTTGTGCAAAAAACTGGCAAGTAAACAATGACAGCCTTGGTAAGAAATTACCAACAGTGCAAGAGGGGCACTACTGTCTTGAGGGTAACCAACAACTGTTTAATTAGACTAAGGCCTACTCAATAGGAGAGGGTTCATTTTGGTACCGTAAACCTAGCCAGCTACTTGGCTAGAGAGGATATTTAAGAGTATTTTAAATGGCCTAGCATAACCTCTGGTCATGTTTCTGGATTTGAAATGTCCCAAATTATGAAAATGTTTTACAAGTAAACATAATTCTCTCAATATAAAAACTCTTCTTGAATCACATAGTTGCACAACGCACAGCACAGGAAACAAACGTAGGCTGACTTATTCCGTGAATCTGTTTCCAGCCTGTGTCCCGAGTGGACCCTCAGCCTAGAAGTGCTGGCCTTTCTGTACTTATCCCCTAAAGGACAGCTGTGGAATCCCCACAACTTCATTAAACTGATCAGTGATGGCCAGAGTTGCCTTTCAACCATGAGTCCACACTGACCTGTCCAGCAGGACACAGTAGACCCACTGTGATGTACGTGGTCCCGCCCCACGGCTCTCCAATCCTTCTACTTCGAGCATGCAACCCCTTGCCAAGACACCAGGAAAGCACACTAATTCTTGCTTTCTGCAAGCTTGGAGAACAAAGCAATGTTTATCTCTCCTTAAATTCTAACCTACGTATCAGAAAGTCTTAAGTCCTTTTAGTTGTTTTGCTCAAATGTTTTCCCGGGGGCGGGAGGGGGGATTCTTTTTATCTGCCTCTGTTTTCACTGATGCCCCCAAAAGGAATAAATAAATCCAGCAACTATACATTCATTTCAAAAAAAAAAAAAAGGCAAATAGACCAATTCCACAGAGTTCAAAGTCCAGAAAACTCTCCAAATTGTATGGATAGTTATCACCCAAATCACTGGGTTATAAATGGGCTCTTCAAAAATTCATTTATTTTATGCATATGAGTGGGGGTTTTTTCTGCATATATGTGCACCATTTGTGTCCCTAGTGCCTGGAGAGTTCAAAGAAAGCTTCAAATCCCCTGAAACTAGAGTTACGATGGGTGACAGGAACTGAATCTGGGTCCTCTGCAAGAACAAGGGCCTTAATCACTGAGCCAGCTGTCAAGCCACCGCCTTCATCTTAACGACAAGATTTTGCTATGCATCCTCTGCCGGCCCAAACTCAGAGCAATCCTCCTGCTTTAGCCTCTAAGTAACGGGCTATAGATAAATGCCAACACACCTGATTACAATGTAAGTTATCTGGGTAACTGGGCAGTAATTGGAAAAAGAAAAAACACTAACAAAACCTTTATCTCCTTCCTCTCCCCCCCCCCTCCTCTCGGTTTTGGTATTTTAAGACAGGATCTCACTATGTACATCTTGCTGTCCTGGAACTCACCAAATAGATCAGGCTGGCCTCCAACTCACTTAGACCTACCAGCCTCTGCCTCCCAAGTGATGGTATTAAAAGGTGTGCAACTACTACACCTGACTTTGATGTCATATTTACAAATAAACTAATGGGGCTAGAGAGATTATTGGCTAAGAGCACTGGATGCTCTTCCAGAGGAGCCAAGTTCAATTCCTAGCACCCACAAGGCAGTTCACCACCATGTGCAGCTCCAGGGGATCCTACACCCTCTTCTCACCTCTGTATCAGATAACACAGGGTGT